CCGAATGAACGTGGCTCCCCGAAACAGAATTGAAGTCCGCAGCGGAGCTCCTGAAGGCGTATAAGAAGCGACTCAAGATCGCTTCAATCGCCATCTCATGTTGATCAACAAACGCCACTGCAACTTCTCCTACCGCCCTCACTACACTAGGGCTGACCCCACCGACGAACCCATCCACACCGACACCAAAACCTTCCATCGCCAACAAATCCGCAATCGCCACCACCCCACAAAACCCAAACCCATCAACAAACAGAGACCCATTACCCAATACCCCACCTACGCCACTACCCAAGGAAAGACGCTTCACTATGTCGGCCTCAGCGTCGTCTGTTTCCTCGCACCGATCCGCTACCTCTCATGCGTCTGCCTCCGACCGCGACCTGACGAGCCAGCCAATGCTTGGCCATGATAGGGCCCTCCCCCCCGGGATACACCGTCTTCCGACGACCATCCCTTCGCTCAGTTGTCCAAGATAGGCAACGAGCCTACTGGGAAGCAGTCATCTGCGACCCCCAGTATGCACTTCGACTTGACAACTATCTCAACCGCACCAACGACGACATAACCATGAACCTCGTCCAGGCCTTCAGGGCCACCTATGCCCTCACCGGCGATATCGCCAGGATCGACTTGGCTAGGGAGACTTCCCTATCCACCGTCTCGACCAGATATAACCAAGGCAAGATCAAGCGAGCCTTGCTAAATCTGTTCGAACTCAGGAACTTCCATGCCACTGTCATGGCCGTCGAGGAGGAGCGGGCATTTAATCCCCCTCCCGACCCACTTGCAGTCGTCGAGCATGCTGTCTATGACAGAGCTCCGACCCCCTTCCTTCCCCAACTACCCCGCTCCAAATCACCAGAGCACATCCCCAATGTCACCCAGTTGACCAACCCCGAGATCGACCATCTCTATGAGGAATACGAACGCGAGCGCTATGCTCCATGTAACCCCTCCCCTACCCTTGATGTACGACACCATCTCTATCACCATCCCAGAGTTGGACGAGTGCCCTCCCGAACCACCTATTCTCAACCCCGACGATTGGGTACCCACTGAGGTGGTCCCACACCTTTCTATTGGTTCTCCAGAACCTCTTCCCACTCCGCAATGCCGAAACCACCATGCTCGTGCACGATCCATCCTGTCCCTAGGACTACCCCTCTCCCATGCGCATCGCCCGCGCACCCAGAACTTCACTAGGCACTATCCTCATGAGGAAGCCCAGGAAGACACCATCAACGACGCACGTTGTAATGCCACCGAGACCACCCAGGTCTACCGCAGCAACGTTGTCTGCCACCAGTGTCGTGTCTTTGGACACAAACAGAAACACTGCGCGCAATACTTCTGCCGCATTTGTGGGCAATTTGCCCCAAAACATCTCACCCCCTTCTGCCCTCGACTCGACGGCAGAAAGATCCTTCGCCGAGGAACCTCTTCTGACCGGTTCTACAGGGACATGCAGCAGCTCGAAGCTGCGTATGACCAGGACGCTGCTCGCCTTGAGCAAGAATGCGAAGAGAACGCAATGGAAGCCGCCTCCTGGCTCGAAGACCTCGACTTCGACCCCGAGTGGTATAACAACCAGGACGACTACGTTCCCCTGGACGACGATTAAAGAGTTCGTGGAACTCTACCTTGAAACGGGGGTAATGTTACAAGTAACATCGGCTACATGGCCCCCCTATCATTTTTCCCCTTCGTCCTCACCCTCGTATGCCTCCGGCTCGTACTTCTCTACCGATTATCCGTTGACCGGATCCTCGGGACCGTTCCCGTCCCTCATCCTCCTCCTATCGCACCAACGTGCGCACGTGCCTTCGGGCTATGACTCAGTTCTGACTCGTGCCACCAATGTGGCTTTCCTTATCTTGTCTTATCTTTCCTCTGACTCATGCGTGCTGCGCATTGTATCATTTACCATTGGCTCGTTCCAACGTTTCTCGGTCTCATTCCGCATTCGACCTCACATCACTAATCAGGCTCTGCTACCAGCATACCTATACCCTTTCCGTTTCCCCTTTGCCCTTACCTACAGTACAGTAGCCTTGCCCTTAACCCTTTCCACTTAGTATAAGTAGTCGGTCACTCTGTACTAGATTCCCTAACTTGAATCTACTCAATCTTCCCTCGAACATACTTCTCTCTGAAGCCCCCTCAGCTTCAGTCTCTAGTATCTTTTCTTAGGTGCCTATCGCGCCTAAGTCTACCTTGATCGACTACTCATCGTTCGGACAAGACTGTCCTTACTTTGAGAATGTCAGTGACTTTGAAGACATCCGTCTTAGAAGTCACGTGACATGCACGTCTCTGATATCTGCCGACTCATCGTCGCCAGTCTCAGTCGCTACACCGGACCCTTCCGGTTATGTCACGAACGTTAGCGGACAACGCCCCTCTCAGGGCTCCGCATAACAGATCTATTTGAGTGCGTAACAGGTGGTTTCATGAACTTGGTGGGTCTATTCTTGCCAGAAATCTCGTAGTTGGAGGAGTTGTTCTCCCCAGTAGCCGTCGTTCTCTGTGTCAACCACTTCATCAACACTTTGCTGCGAATTGAAGATGTGGGGACAATCAGATTCGGTGGAGGGTTCGATGTCAATGAGAAATTGACAGAGATCTCCTGGGAGGGCGATTGGGGGTAGGAGGAACCGACGTGAAGGGAAGACTCCTCATGATGGATCGTCTGCTGGGTTGTCTGCGCCAGGAATGTACTGTAAGTGGAAGGAGGTTTCACCGCCAATTGACTCCAGCAAGCTGTGGATGCGACGAAACACGAGTTTGGTGGCTCGGTTGCGGCTGCAGTGGTTCTTCCATCCATCGACCACTCCCTGGTTATCGCAGAACAACCGGAAGTGTTTGTGGATGCTGGGTTGACGACCGTTGAGGATGGCGTGTACGAGGAGCTCGAACCCCATGCACTCAGCCCACCCGATGTCATGCTGACCTCCACACGTTTGCCATCCGGGCAGCAGACGCCAGGCTCGCCAATGCCCATTGAGAGTAATTGCAATGCCGAAGGATGTACTTGCATCTGAGAAGGCCCGTAAGTCGATGAGGGAGGAGGGCTGTGTGATGAGGTGTCCCACAAAGGGGTGATTGAGATGTTCTTCCCACCACTCGAGCTCTTCATTGAGATGACGATTGGAATGACGTGGCACGAAAGGGCTATCGTGACTGACTCCGAGCATGGTCTCCAATCCACTGAGGTACGCACGTCCCGCTGGGACCACCAGGCATGAGTGCAACAATTTCCCGTAGAGCCATTGGATGTCGAGTAGCGTGTGCGTCGCATGTGAGCGCCAGTCTGCGATGGCAAGTAGATACTTCGCTTGTTTCTCGGGAGATAACCGGACTGATAAGCGTGAGATGTCCCAGAGAAAGCCCAGATAGAGCGCCACGAAGCTGAATAGCATGTCTTTCGTGAGCTCCCACGGTATTCCCAAGAGACGAGACAATCTGGTGATGTCTTCGAACGCAAACATGAAGTCTGCGTCAATGTCAGACCTCAGCGAGGAATCAGAAAAATCACGCAGGGGAAACTTGCAATTTTCTGCGTGGATGTCAAAGCTACCATCATCCAAAGGCCCACTTTCATACCACAGACGCCCTCCTGACCGTGACTTCCCGTTGGCCTCCAGGAGATCGTGCAGGTTCTTCCGATGTTCATTGTAAGTAAGAAGATGCTCGCGTCGTATGCGAAAGAATAAATGATCATCCACCCATTTAGCCAGGGGTCCGATTCCACCTGCGCGAAGTAAGTCTGCTCCGGCGTCAGCAACGTGTCCATAGACACCAGCTGACGGACCCATACCGAAGGATACGCAAGTGTCAATGCACAAATCGTCATCAGGAAGGCGAACCATGGCTGCTGCCCATTGTGCGTGATGTAGAGGAATGGTACGATAAGCTTCAGCGACGTCGCACGTGGCTGCTTGAGAGCCGGGTGGAAGAGAACGAATGATGGTACATATGGTGTCGAACGTTCCCCAAGTGCAAGGGAAGTCATCTGAATTGATGCTGGAGTTGATGGAAGGATTAGGATGAGCCAGAGATGTGTTGGCGGGGAATGAAAAATTCTGGATAACGCGGAACTTTCCAGGTTTTCCTGCTTTGGGGATGATGGAGATTGGAGATGATTGGAAAGGACCCAGAAGAGCATTGAGGCTGTCTTGTGATAACAGGCCGATGTACCGTCCGGTGGTAAGTTCATGTTCCAGAATTTTGTCGAAGGTGGTGCGAAAGATGGTGAGTGATGCACTATTTGGGGGAGATTGCATGTGAAGAACGACGGGTATGTGCAAGTTGAATCCAGACCGTAGACCTTCTGATAGATCGGGATACTCATTAAGAAGATCGTATTTACGAAGTTGAAGCTCCCATTCCCAATGATTGTATGGTGTGAGAGGGTGAAGTTTTCTGAGCCCAAGCGCACGACTGAGCTCCATGTGATCTGGCAAGACACCTGGAGCACACATGGTGTTCGTCGTGATGCCGACTGTTGCATCCGCGTGATCTTTGCCAATCGACACAAAGTGTTTTGTCCGAGTTCCATACGAGCAAGGACTTTCCAGAGCACATTGACGAGGCAGGAAATTTGTTGTTCCATAAGTGTTCGGCGACGCATTCAATGAATTTGTGGCCATGGGTCCCCAGACAGACGATGCACACGGCTGGGGCGTGATTGCCGTGTGCGCTGTCTTGAAAACCCAATTGGTTGCCAGAGGTGTTGTGATTGTCCCTTGGTGAACGCGAGTGCCTCCTGGCGGATTGAGATGGTGACCTCTTCGAATGTCTCGAGCTGTGCTGCGAGGAGTGATCTCTGTGGTTGCTGCGCAACTCTTCCCTTGAGTGTCGTGGCTGGAGATGGTATACACGAAAGGCATAAACGCAAATGCAAACGCAATGTATCGTGAAGATGAGTAAACGCATTGATGGGTTCAAAGGACCAATCAAGGTAAGGCATAACGCGAAAAACACCAGTTTGAATATTTTTAAACGCGGTTGGTTTGATGTGATTGTGAGGAGAAAGGGAATGCAATTAGAAAGATTTCAAAGTAATTGAAAAAGGAGGTGCTAACCTGAGTATCTTGTCTGTGCACATCAGAACGAATGAGCGAGGCACGATAAACCTGCTCAAAGGTGCGCGCAAGGGTTGGCTCATCAATGACTGAAATATCCCAAGCACCTTTTGAGGATGGAATAGTGTTGTGCCACGCTCTGCATTGCTCTTCCTGGAATAGCATGATGGCTCGTTGAGCTAATGAGTCACGAGAGTTCCAGTAACGATGTAGCATGATGGCTCCCCAGAATTGGGCGAGCATCAGCACACGTTGTTGAGGCCAGTCGCGCTCTTCTAGAGCCGCGACTATGTGAGGAATAGCTTGTGCGAAATCTGCTGGGGATAAGTGTCTATCCACTATGACGCCTGATGCCGGTTTAGAGGATGCAGAGCTTATCCAAACTGTGGAACCGTCTTCGCCGGTGGTAGGAACTAAGCTATCGTCGTCACGAGTATGGTAGTTGACCATTGCATCGTCGAGTCCATGATTCGTCCAGTAGTACAGTTCTATATACTGACCTTTGTCCAGTTTGCGTATTGCAAACTCTGAAATTAAGGCTTCTTCGTCATTGGCGAAGGGACGAGGGTGCATGGTATTGGAATGTGTTTTAGACAGTTTTTCTTCTTTTCATCCGCGCGCGCTGTAGCTTCTCCAAGTTGCAAAGCTGCTTGTTGACATTCCTGATCTTCTTCGTCTAAACGCTGCTTCTCTGCTTTCAGTCTGTCGTCTTCTGCAAGTTGTTGTTGCCATTGTAAACACAAGTCTTCGTTGGTGGTCACCCATATGTTGCGAAGGGTGTCGGCGGTGTAGAGACTCGTGCGTCTCATGGTCTGATATGACAGTTTTCACTAGGGAGTACATAGCACGAACTTGTAGCGTCACTCTGTGCGCTACCTGCAGCTATCTCTATATGAGGCGCAACTTTCCCGCGCTTCACGATGTATATGCGCGCGCGTTCCCGTGCTTGAGCGCCCTATAGCGCCAGCCATCCAGAAGCATCCATCCACTGTCCACCAAGCCCTCTAGTGCGTATATTTCCATTTCTTTTATTAGCATATCATTCCACCTCTATTTTTATAATGGACCCTTACTTATATATATCTTTACATACCTACTCGGTAGCACTTCGGCTCCGCATGACCGCACTTAGGCGTGCTATATAAGCAGCAGCAGTACATACTACGACAAGTTTTCCACTTACTTTTCACTTACTTTCCCTTTAACTTACTAGTTACCACCCACCATTTTACTTAGCAGAACACAGTAGAAGTCTATTTGTCTACACTTCGCATCTCTCTTCTCTTATATTGCATCATATTAGCACTTGAGTCTAACTTCTCTATTATTTCTGCATATGCTTCGCGCTAATACGCGCGCATGTTCCCGCGCCTTGCGTGCACCTGCGCTTTCTCGCGCTTCGCTTCAGCGCACACTTCTAGATCCTTGCTGCACTCGCTTCCCCTAGGGTCGAACGCACTTGTCGTCTCAAGAATAGCAGACTAGGCAACGTGTGACCTCACAACATTTTTAGATACAGTTAGGAGCATCATTTGTTCCTCTCTGTATTGTTGTTTCTACAGCGGCCTGGGCTTCGGTGATGTTGGCTGTCACCATGCTGATCCGACTGACTCAATACCTTTCGGACATGAAGTCTGGGCAAACTGAAAACCTAGGATCCGAGTGGAGTCTATCCATTGTAAAACTTTCCAGTAAAACTGCTGTAGCTGTTTTGTCGATGTTTTTAAAAGTAGACTAGAGCAGAGTATGGCTAATGATGATAGCACGAGGCGAAATGCTCAGTGTATGAGCAATGATAGGGAGAGGAAGAGAAAGCATGAGTTATTCTTCCCGAAATGGCATAGACTTCATTCTAATCACGTGTTCGTTCCTCACACTTTGAGAGAACACGACTACGCCACTCGACTTGTCCGTGGTATTGGTAAGCCAGGCTGGTCACGAGCCTACGAAGCGTACGCGTTGTTTTGGTCTGTTGTTCAAAGGCTTCCGAGAATTTCCTTATTTGGAAGCTGCACATTGCGAATCACTAGGAGGCGTCGGCATTCTCCACAACCAAGTGTTTCTTGGCGCAGAGAGCAACACAGCCTGTTCCTTTCGCGCAGCTTTGGTCACCGCCTGAAGCCGGCGGTCAATTTCCGTTTGCGAGAGCGTTCGCTTAGTGCAAACTTTTTATTGAAATCAATAGCTCCGGGAGCAGCGTAAGGATTCGATATGTGGATGCATTTTCCCAAACAAACATCATATATATAGTTTCACTCGCTGACGAAACATATATAACAGACCAATTTACATCGAACTGCCTCGAAATTTGAACCGAACCGAGGTGAGTGCTTGATTCGATGGTAACACAGCCATTGACATGCGGTGTCAGAAAGGCGCCTGCAGCTACAGTATGCAAATCTGACCCAAATAGCAGGTCTCTTCATCACTTTCACCCTGTATCTCTCCTTCCCTGCGATCATTGACTTTGTGCAGTGTTTCTCTACCCAGTCTGTCTATACAACCCATATCGATCAAGGTCATGATGCCACACGAAGAGGCCGAGTCAAGCACATCAAGGAGACAGGGAGAAGCGTTATTGCACTCACCGACATATCAGACCAGCGCGAAGGATCCACCACCATATGGTGCACAGTACCGCCAGGACACACTTTGGGAAGGTAAGCAGCCACCTGATGATATCCACCAGCTTACTCAATTAGACGCAGGCGGGAATGAAGCGCTTCCTCCTATGTGGCAACAGTTTAAGATGTCGAATAATAAAACACTATATCAAGATGACACGCTCGTGATGGTCTCGTGGAACCGACCTTTACCAGGAGTGCGACTAGGTGAGGGATGAAATTGCAACAAGGAGCGACGAACTCACGGTTGAACATAGATAACCCGGGATATCTCGTTCCCGGATGGGAATGGCACATCTCACCACTCGGTCGGTCCTACTTCATCAACATCAATACTCGGACCACATCGTGGAAGAAACCAAAGCCAGAACGTCCAGCAGGGAGCTTGAAGCCAGAGTGCGTCATCAAAGGTCACTCCGAATGCATATGGAGCCTTGCCTACTTGGGTACCAGTGGCAATATAATGAGCGCGTCTGACGATAGTTCGATTCGTCGGTGGAAAAGAGACGGAGAGCCAGTAGGAAACCCTTTCAATAACAATGGGGGAGGGATAATTTCTATGGTAGTATCCCCAGATGAAACGATGGCGATCTGTGGAAGTACAGATGGCAGACTGCGGCTGTGGAATATAACGGAAGTCAGAATGATCGGCGACCCGTGGGAGGGGCATAGTAGTAATGCTCCAGTGAGGTGCCTCGATTGGTCTCGCGATTCCCTGGAGATAGCAAGTGGATCTGTTGACGGCACCATACGATGCTGGAACCCGGATACTGGTCAACAAATGGCACCACCTATAGAGACCCGTCATCAATGGGTTGAAGCCGTCAAATACTCTCCACAAGGCGACAAGTTCATGAGCGGCGGTGCGGACGATGTGATCCGCGTGTGGTCGAGGAACGGCAAGCTGCTTATCGAAATCAAGGGACATGAAAACTGGGTGACGTCATTGTGGTGGTCCAAGGACGGCGCACACATATTTTCTGCCTCACTTGATACCACCATCCGCAAATGGCGGGCAATTGATGGACAGGAACTCGTCGTTTTCCGGGGTCATGCCCACGACGTCAGATCCCTCTGCCTTACTCCCGATGAAAGCTATTTTGCTAGCGTATCAACTGACTGCTCCATCCGCATCTGGGATCTCAAGATCAATCAGGCAGTCGGAGATCCACTCTTGCATGATGACAGAGTCTTCGCTGTTGCCATGTCTTCCGATGGAAAATACATTGCCAGCGCTGGACCAGACGGAAAAATCTATGTATGGAGCCTGGAGGCAGCGCTCAAAAACGTTATGGTACGTATGCGCTTTGTTGTCCGATTTCCCTTCCTAATGGTTCTGGCCATTTAGGATGTGAATGGCGGGAATACCAAGCTGAAGGCAAGTCAAGTCTTCTCTGCTCCTTTTTCACACTAGATCTCACCTTTTACCAGAGACGTCCAGCCCAACCGAGAGTTGTGTGCCCACCATTCGTGAGCAACCTCATCTTGTCTCATATGTTTCGTTTGATTCTTAATGCCCATCTACATTCCAAACAACAGGCCAATAGCAGAAGCTCGGCGAAATATGTCAGTAGAATCTTTCGTTTTTCAGCTCTTGCTAATCTGGCTTTGATGATACAGGGCAATGATTTCTTCGGCAGCGAGTTAGACCACGCGTCTCGTCGTGCAGCTCCATCGGATAGCTCATTGTCTCTCATTCATTGGCCCCGTTTGCTTAGCACTCTCCGGCTCAGTGCTCAATCTACAGATGCACCCCCACCATCACCTCGCGAGTCCAAGAATTGGAATTTCAATTTATTTCCTGTAGGAAATTTCAGCCGCACCGTTGAAGTAGCTCCTGGCCGCAAAAAAGATGTGAGTGTGACTCGCGATCATGATTGCTATTCTTTAATAATGACATCCAAAACACAATTACAGAGATACGCCATTGCCCCTCCCAGCAAGGCAGAAGTGGAGGCAGCCATGCAACGTGCAAACGGCAACCAAACCAACAGTTCAACGCAACCGGGTCAACCCGTAGCAGCTGCACAGGGGTCTCAAGCAGGGGCACAAGGGTCTCAAGCACGACCAACAGAAACACACCAATCAACCGGTGGAAGGGGAGAAGTTTCCTGCGAAGTTTCCTGCTGCGGATTTTACTTGAGTCGTCATTCCACTTCGCGTCAGTCATGAAATCATTTTGAAACTTTGTTACTTGAACATCTCTCTTCCCTTTCATCTGTGTTTGCGCATCATGCTTATATATTCTAGATAGCTCATTCCGTCCCATCTACATGAAATTGATATATTTCTCTTAATAAGGGACGCATGGTTGAAGCAAGCATGAGGTTGCGCCAATGTCTGTGTAGCTCCCGCATAGAATGTCCGAAAGGCACAGGAGATCAAATATAAATAGAGCCAGTGTGCAAAATGATACTCTGATACCATAGCTGTGCACCGGCGCTGTTGAGTTTCGCTGATCCGTTGGAATATGATGGTGAAGAGCTGCAATTAAGGGGCACAGCAGAGGGCTCAGACCTGTATGCACGATTGGAGGTTAGCCAGGGACTAGTGGCGTGTGATTAGTAGTGGATGGGCAGTGGGCATAAACTGGCGATGTCTGAGTCCAGCACTCGAAAAGCAAATTCGAAAGCGTCAAACCTGCTGCCAAAGAGCATGCAAAGCTCAGTGTCGAAGTCCATGCCTCAGATATATCCCCTCTATAAAAGTATTTATCAGTAATTCAGCTCCATCATGTTAGGTGGTTCTCCGCTGTCGCCAGTCAGTCACCGTTTCGGACCTCGAAACCCACCAAAGTGACAGATCACGGTGTTTTCACCTAGCAGTCGTGCAGCCACTAGTATGCGCCGCGGCCAAGGCCGAATTACATGATATATCGTAAAGCCGGAGGCGATTTTCCTTCCGGCCAGTCTACCTGTTCCAACTCAAGTACTCATACTTCAAGGTACC